AGAAGAGAGGGGCTCTGTTTAAATTGTTTATTAAACATGGGCCTGGGTTTGTTCCACTTTCAACCGCAGGGCCCTCTTGATGAAGCATATAAAGTATGGTTCCTTTCCAGCCTGATACATACTGTACTCCCTTCCCCTTACTCACCAACTCCAATTCTGCATGCCCACTAAGGCCTCTTTCTCTCAACCCCATCCACACCTATCTCAAGCCCCATTTAAACCCCTTTTCCTCATCTTAGCCCAAGAAGAAGCTGAAAGCACCCTCTGACCTGGCCACACCCAAGATCGTGCCTTTTGACCTTCTGCCTGAGACTGAGCCCTTTGATCTGAAGCCTGAGACAGTGCCTGAGCTCCCACCCTTTGACCAGACGCCTAGGACACTGCCCTATTACCCAGAGCCTGTGCCTCTGCCCACCCCAGAGAAGCCAACAGCCGGTGGGGGTGCTTAGGGTCTCCTTGGTGACGCGGTGCTGTGGGCATGGGCTATCACTGCTTAGTGGTGGTCAGTGTCGGGATGGCAGGCCTCTTCCAAGCCCTGGGTGGGTGGTGGGTATTATGAAAACATTATGCAGAGTTCAGGCGAATGTGATGTGTGTAATGGGATGGGAGGTGAAGGGACGGGGCCCTCCCCTACCTCTCGGTTTCTGTCTTAATAGACGCTCCAAACACCATACTGGAGCTGCACCCCGTGCTGCCCTGCATGAAATTGCATGAAACTGTGCCATGGCATCTGATTCTCCTTCCTGTTTCCCTTCTGACTCCTCCTCAGGGACAGGCCAGTTTGGCTCAAAGCTTCTTTGGAGAGGGCCCTCATGAGGCCCAGGCCTGGGGTCTGTTCTGTGCCCTGTCCACCCCCTCCCTGGAGCTGAAGAAAACATTTACACTTATTTTTTCCATTTTTTTTTTAGAAAATGTTTTGCAAAGGGATCCCTTATGTTTGCCAGATCCTGCCTTGGGCGAGGCACCCAAAAGCTGCCAACTCAGAGAGGCCGGAAGGGGGGGACATTTTAGCTGGTGCTGGCTTGGATCCTCTGGCTTCCCTATAGCACAAAAGGGTTTCCTCAACTTTTTTCTTTTTTTCCATTATCATCCCCCTAAGGAGTCCTTTTAGACATTTTTTCCCCCTAACTGTCCACTCCTCCATGAAATTTTAATACTACAGATATACTATCTCTATCTGTGTATGTACTGGGACTCTTTGAGCACTACAAACTATTGCAATATCTAAAATCACCTCTCCTCTCAAGAATTAATTTCCACCCTCTTGGGGGCAACATTAACCCTGTTGAGAAACCTGCTCTAGCAGAAAGGACCCTCTGCCTTCGTTGTCTCTCATCCCTTGTCTCGGCACTTTAAAGTAATGATCCTGAGTTTTTATGACTTTCCTTCTTTTCTCCTCTCCTCAAGTCTTGCACCCTCTTCTAACATATTCTCTGAGCAGATCCTGGGTCTCTGAATGCCCTCTCCAAAGTCTTCTCTGGCTATTCTCAGGTAGTAGTTGGGGACAGAGCTCTAAGTCAAGAGAGGCTCCTGGGGTGCCTGGCTGGCTCAGTGGGTAGACAATGTGACTCTTGATCTCGGGGTCATGAGTTTGAGCCCCACCTTGGGTACAGAACTTACTTTAGAAAAAAAAAAGGAAAGAAAGGCTCCTACTTAGAGTCATATGACATTGTCCCTTCTCCCTGACAAATGTGAAGTGCCTGGCCAAGGACTAGGCACATAGTAGGTGCTAGATTAAATTATAATCATATTAAAATCTTCTTCCTACAGCGCCTGAGTGGCTCAGTCTGTTAAGTGTCTGTCTTCAGCTCAGGTCATGATCCCAGGGCCCTGGGATTGAGCCTCACATCAGGCTCTCTGCTCAGCGGAAAGCCTGCTTCTCCCTCTGCCTGCCACTCTGCCCATCTGTGCTCTCTCTCTATCTCTGTCAAATAAATAAATAAAATCTTAAAAAAAATAAAAAAAAAAACTTCTTCCTAGACCAGAGGATCTTCAGTTTATACAGCAGGGTTGGGCAGTGGAGTGGAAGGGGCAGGAAGCCTTCCTGGGCCTCCTGAAACTCATCTTAGACTGGTGCTTTCCTGGGTTGGAGAACTGTGTGTGCTTGGTGGGGGGCAGGGGAAGCTGTGCATGCTTTTGCTCAGACCTGGTCATTAAAGGTAACTCTGGAAACCAAGCCTGTTGGGAGTGGTGGTTTTGTTTAATAAAAACGTGAAAACAGAACAAGCAGAGCCCTCCCTCCTTGCCACCCCCTGAGGCTCCTCCTTTGGTGTAGGTGCTCTGCCAAGGCAGTAGGGGTGGGACAAGGGTGCCTGGCCTTTGTGCCCAGGGTGGGGGGAGGTGCTTTGGAATTGTGTTGGTGGTTGTTGTAGCAACAGGATGATGGGGTGGGCCCAAGACAGCACTCCAAGCTTATGAGTCACAGGGGAAACCTGGCTTGGAAAGGGGGAGAAAAGAGAAAATCCATTAATGGAGGAAAAAAGCTAAAATCATAGTGGTATACCCTCTGCAGAGCCAGTCTACTGGACATTGTCCAGGGACTTAGGTGAAGTTATTTCTTCCCCCATCCCTTGACCTTCCACCAAGGCAGCTCCTCTGGTATAAGCCATCACTCCGGGGGAAACCTACAATGAATGGGGTTAATATAGTTCCATATATCTTTCTGGACTGGGAGAGACACCTCCAAATCCAGGAATAAACCTCCCTTCACTGGGATTGTTCCCTGATGTTGTATTTGAGACCTTTCATCAGGAATTAGGAAGACGGGATTGGCTACAAGAGGTCTGCAACTCTGTCCGTAGCCCTGTTCACTTCCAAGCTGAGTTGGCAAACACCTTTAATCTAGGAAGCCAGAGGCCAGGAAAACGAGTCAGCTCAGCCTTTAGGGGGTGGGGTGGGGCAGGGCTGGGGGTGGAAGGGGGGTATCAGGGTTGCTGGGGGTGGGGCAGGGAGACAATGTCGATTTGTTTTCCAGCAGCTGGGACTGTTTCCCGACTATTCCCCGCCCATCACCCTAATCCTTCCCTAGCCCATCCACATTGTCTAAGTTTAGTGAAAGGAGGGGTTCTCCACTACCCTGTGGTGGAGCACGTGTGGGGTTATAGTCAGAGAGGCTGTGAAGGAGATCAGAGCTGAAATTTTTTTGATACTGGGGCTGCAGGTAAATTCTGGGCAGAGAGGGATGAAGAAGCAGCAGAGAGTTTAAATCATGAAGAGTCCTAAAATGGTGTGTAAGAGAGAGGACTTGAGTAGCAGGCAGAAAGAAGTCACTGTAAAAAGGAAACCCAAAGGGTACAACTGGAAATAAGAAGGAATGTTAAGAGAGGTTGGGACACTCTTACACTCAGAACAAAGAAAACAACCCCTTCAACTCCTCTGTGAGTGATAAGATGCAGAGGGATGGACAGAATGACAGTACTAAGCCAGCTATGGCAGGTGGAGACTACAAGTCCCAGCATGCCCTGAGCCCAGATCACCTTGCCTGCTGGGAGGTGTAGTTGAATAATGAGAGCTTGAGGTGGCTTGATGCCCAGCAGTGCTGGTGCCCAGATTGGGAGAAGAGGTGGAGCCAGCATTCTGTCTTTGTCCTTGCTAATGCTATTGACAGGGAGGGAAGGAAGTTGGGAGGGGGTGTTCCTAGTTTTCAGTATAAACCAGGAAACTCTGGGGGGATGTGGATGGGAGGGAAGAGGAAAGAGGTTGGGGGCTGGGGGAGGAATTTCTGTAGCAGGTGTTGCTGAGATACCAAGTGGACAATGTGTGTGTGTGTGTTTATGAGAGGGATCAACTCATGTTGCCTCATTTTTCTCAGATGGGACTTTTTTTTTACAATTCTGGGAAACAATCTTCAGAAAACCCTTTGAAAAACTACTATCTCTCATTCCTTCATCTGAAGTCCCTAAAGAGAGTCTGGACCAGAGATCTGGGCTTATGTTTATGTTCTTGGATGTGCCCCCTTTCCCTTTCTGTGCTCAGCCTCCCCTACCTTCTTGTGGGGGGGTGATCCTGAGATTCTGAAATGTTGGCCAGAGTCAGGATCTTGGAAAATCTTCCCAGAATGGAAAACAGTGCTGGTGCTAGGTACTCCCAGGGGAAGAGGGAAGAACTGGCTCAGAGCTCCAGATCTCAGGGAATCTGGGACCACTACCCGATTCCTGGCCCCTTAAGCTCCGGTCTGGGTAAAAAAAAAAAAAAAAAACAATGGAAAAAGTAATCCCTCCCTTCCATTCCAAGGCTGGGAAGTCAGACCCAGAATAAATGTCCATGTTGGGGAGAAAACATACTCTTGGCTGCCAGCCAGCTTCTTCCTCTTTCCTCTCTTCAGTTTCTACGTGGGGGGGAATGACCACTGCTGGAACAAATCAGTATGAGGAGGTCAAGGGTGGGGAGCATGGGCTCAGCACAGCTCTCCTTCCCTTAGACTGGTTCTGAAATGATTAGAAGTCTGGGAAACGCACTCCCTTTATCTTGCCTTCAAGCTACCCTACCTGGGGGTCGCCTGTGAGCTCACTCCCCTACCCCCACCCTTCAACGGCTTCCCAAACCCCTTTGCATTTTGGCCTGGCTAGAGCAGTGTGTGATTTAGTGCACCAGAGGGCGCTCTGCCCATTTCCAAAGTTAAATTGTGTTCCCTGCGACGCAAGCGGGTAAGGAGTAGTCTAATGTAAGATACGTGGATGTAGGATGTAGGACAGATTTGAGGGCTGCAGAGATATGTAGCCCAAGCGCAATGACTCCACAGGCCAGTCTTCCACCGGAAGCTCGGTTCCCTCCTCGCCCCGTTTGTATAGTTACCATTCATTCAACACATATTTATTGGGCTCCCACGCGGTGTCCAGCTCAGTGCCAAGGCTCTGGGGACACACCGGCGAAGGAGTCAGGCGGATGTCATGGCTACCACGCACTCCCCGGAATCACTACCATCCTGCCGCGGGTTCGCCCAGTGTCCCCGCCCAGCCCTCCGCTCTGCCCCTCACCTCTGCGCTCTGCTCTCCCTTTAGGACGAAGTGAAACTGCCAGCCAAAGTGAGCATCGGCAAGTCGCTGAAAGAGGCGGAGGCGCTGCCCGAGAAGGAGGGCGACGAGCTGGGCGAGGGCGAGCGGCCGGAGGAGGACGCGGCCGCGCTCGAGCTGTCGTCCGACGAGGCGGTGGAGGTGGAGGAGGTCATCGAGGAGTCGCGCGCCGAGCGCATCAAGCGCAGCGGCCTGCGGCGCGTGGACGACTTCAAGAAGGCCTTCTCCAAGGAGAAGATGGAGAAGACCAAGGTGCGCACCCGCGAAAACCTGGAGAAGACCCGCCTCAAGACCAAGGAGAACCTGGAGAAGACGCGGCACACGCTCGAGAAGCGCATGAACAAGCTGGGCACGCGCCTCGTCCCCGCCGAGCGGCGCGAGAAGCTCAAGACGTCGCGAGACAAGCTGCGCAAGTCCTTCACGCCCGACCACGTGGTCTACGCGCGCTCCAAGACGGCGGTCTACAAGGTGCCGCCCTTCACCTTCCACGTCAAGAAGATCCGCGAGGGCGAGGTGGAGGTGCTGAAGGCTACCGAGATGGTGGAGGTGGGCGCCGACGACGACGAGGGCGGCGCGGAGCGCGGCGAGGCGGCCGACCTGCTGCGCGGGAGCAGCCCTGACGTGCACACGCTGCTGGAGATCACTGAGGAGTCGGACGCCGTGCTGGTGGACAAGAGCGACAGCGACTGAGCGGACGCGAGGCTCTGCCCGGGAGGCCGCGCCACCCCGCCCCGCCTCTCACTGCCCCCTCCCCGTGCCCTACCCTCTGGAACTTTCTCTTTCGCATTCTCTCTCGGCACCACGCGGGCTGAGATGTTTCTAAATTGACAACACCGCCCCTCAAGGAGCACCCCTCCAAGTCTTACAGCTGTTAAGATGGGAGGGGGAGGCAGCCTCCACCATGGATAGCCCCAATTTGGGCATAATCTGGGTGGGAATGGAGAGGGGAGTGATCCGTGTCCTGGTCGTCCAAGTCAGGGATCTTAAAGAAAATTGCTGTCATTTCCATGGTTGCCCCACCCCACTTTGGGGTAGGCTGCCTTCCCCCCAACCTCCACCTCACACTCGTACCCAGCTGCTGTCATTCCTGTTCACTGAGCTCTTCTTTCTCATCCTGATCCCTGGAGGCTTCAAAGCCAAAATTACCATAAAAGGAAAGAGTAAATCCTGAAGGGGACCCTTGCCCCATACTGGAAGGACTTGAAAGCAGCTTTTGGGAGAACCTGGGGCAGTTGGGGGAAGAGGGCAGAGTGAGCCGTGACCCTGGAATGAGAGTCTAGCGCGTGTTGTATCTGTAAAGGGTCTCAACAAGGAAGGCAGTAGCCAAGCAGAGCCCTGGGGAAGGAGCAGGTGGTGTAGGGAACACTTAACATGTTTATGCATCTGCAACAGCAGCATATGGCTATGGCTTTGGGAAGGAAAATGGGAAATAGTAGAAAGTGGAAATGAGTGAAGAGAGGAGAATTCTCAGCAGCATGAGAAACACAGGACAAGAATCCCGTCTTAGTGGGGTCCTCAGAGGACAGCAGGACAATTTTCAGAATAAGGAGGGAGGACAGTGAGAAAGCGATGATCCAAAGAGAAGAGAAAGGTAAGCCTCGCCCTACCCCTTAACTGAGATCTGAATGGTGCCCCTTGTGGCAGCCCATTTCTTAAGTCCAGAAAATGAGGGTTCCAGAAGGGGGCAGCACCAGACTGCAGAGGGCTGGGAGGTAGGCGGGAGGCCGACTGGAAAGACAGCAAGGTGCTAATGGCCAGGCCACCATGCTGCGTGCTGGAGGCGAGATGGCGAGAGTGTATGGAGCAACCCGGCCTTGGCTCACTCCTGGTAGTTTCTTCTCAAGATCCTTTGCTAGAGCTAGTATCATAAAGCTGCAAAACTTGCCGAGACCTCCTTGCCCTTCTGGGTTCCTCTCCTGAATCGTTGGGGATGACAGGGATGCTACTTCCAGTCCTGCTGTCCACTGACAGGTTCTCCTCAGGACACTTCAGTCCCCCCTGTTCCTCTCCAGTAAAGGCGGCTTGTCAGAAGCAAAGACACCTCCCTTCCCCTTCAAGCACAGCCCAGAGAGGAGGACTGAAGGCCTCCTCCTCCCCCACCTCCTCTGCCTTATCTTCCCTGCTTTGCTTTTTAGAGTTGCAGCTAATTGTTTTAAGGGGTCGGGGGAGGGAGCCTGGGGACACAAACATTTTTTTGTAATACAAAGCTTTGCTTCTGCCCCCTCCTTTTCTTGGTTCCTTCTCTCTTCTGAATGGTTGGAGACACTTCAGCTGAGGGAGGATGGGGATTGTGGGACAAGGTCCCTTGGTGCTGATGGGCTGAAGGGGCCTGAGTTGTGGGCAGATACAGTTTCCTGTGGGCTCCTGGGAGCCTGTCATGTTGCTGTGTCCTGGTGAGCAGCCCGACCAATAAACCTGCTTTTCTAAAAGAATCTGTGCTGGATTATGTTCTCCGAAGGCAGTTACATAGGCTGAGTTACAGAGGGCAGGAGAGAACCAGGGTGGGAAAGAGGGAGAGGACTGTTGGTTTAAACCTGCCTCTTGTGCTGGGGTGAGGAGTGGGAGTGGGGTGTTATTATCACCCCTATTTTAGAGGTGAAGAAACACAGAGTGACTTGTCTAAAGTCAAGTACTCAGTAAGTGGCAGAGCTGGGATTCTGAGCCAGGCAGCCTGGCTCCACAGTCTAACTGTTAAGAATCTATAACCCTCTACTGTCTAGATCCACTTCCCTGCTGTCAGGGCATTAGCCCTCCAGACACACTGTTTACTCACTCAGTTTGAGCTTCCTCCACATCTGCACTTCTGAATCAGAATCAGGCCCAGAGGAGGCAGCCTGGGGAGGGGAAAAGTCAGAGACCCTGACTCAGAGAGCTAAATATCAGAAAGGATTCCGGTTCATGTCATATGTGCCAGTCATAGCCACACAGCATGGTTAATTCTCCCCACAATCCTGGGATGGGTGTATATTTCGTTGTCTGTGCAGCCTCTCTTCCCCATGAGCAAGCAGCCTGCCCGACTGTCCACAAGCTATGGATTTCCTAGAGCAATGGACTCAAGTCATCATGTGGGTTCTGCCTGGATATCAGAATCACCCTAATGAAAATAGTGTCATTTCTGGGGCTCCATGCCAGCCTTCTGCCATGACTCAAACAAGCTGAGTCCTTCCTCATGAGCCATGAATTCCCCTTCAACTCCCTTGCCCCTGCCACCAGCAACAAGCACAGCAGAGTCTGGAGTTCTAAATCTCCCAAATGGGTTGGCTTCCCACCAAAAGAAATGAAAACTGATGCTGAAAATTCAGAGCCTGGGAGCCAGGAAACTTCCCTCCTGCCAAGAGAGGATCTTTCTTCCTCTGGGATCCGGATGTACAGCTGTGAGAAGCAGGGAATGATGTCAGGACCCCAACTGTGGAGTAACAAGGCCAACGGAAACCAGGAAAAGTCCTGGGACACCAGGCCATCATTTACTTCTCTTATCCACTAAAGGTACCTGACATACACACACACCCCTTTCCTTCTACAAGCCATGCCCCTCACTGGTCCACCACATTTTCAATACCAGCACAATGAGTTTGTTGTGCCTTCCCTACCCAGTTTTATTCTGGGCACCGCTTTGTTAAGAACAGTCCTAATTCTCTGAACAGCCACATTTCTGCTGGTCCCTGCTCCATGGCATTCCTTCTTTACATCTAAGTGTGGGGCCAGAACTTCCCCAGAATCAGAAATTACTCCTTTTCCTCTTCCCTTGCTGCTGAAGACCAGCTCTCATGAGATAGTCAACTGCCTACCAATAGGATTTGATGGCATTCCAAGGTCCCACAGCGACAAAGCATCTTTTCCACAAACTAGTCCTGAACTTGCCCACCCATCATTAACATTATTTCCATGACAATAAGCTAGAGGTATTATCTTCTCAAAGGATCCTGTCAAATGTAACCTGGGATCTAAGGAAGTTCCCCTACAGCCTCAGATTGAGTTTATCAGGTCTCTAAGTGGTATCTCTAAAGCTCTAAGAGGTAACTTTCTATTGCGGTCAGAAGCCGCAGCCAGTCTCAGACTGGTCCAGACCCTCATCTGCTCCCACCCTGAGTATTTGAACGAACTTTAGATTCTCTTTCCAATCCATTCCCCACATTACTGCCAGATAGAGATAGAAGATCTACTGATACAGAAATTTTTTAAAGAAAACATACCTTACAGTTTAAATGCCTTCCTTTGACCAAAGTGTTAAACTTAGTGACATGGCTGACAAGATCCCTTAAGAGTCTGGTCCTGCCCCAGTTCTTACCTGTTCTTTAACATGCTCTTTGCAGAGTTTGCTGGCCAGAAATGGACCACACATTTTCAAGCCTGTGGACCTTTGCTCAGGCTGCTCTCTCTCTATGGATGGCCTCCCCTCTCCACCTCCCCTCTTAAACCAATCTTTTCCCCAGCTTCACCCCAGGCATACTATCCATTCCCTTCTCAGGACTCCCATAGAATTTTATGTCAATAAACACTTGTTGAATGAATGAATGAATGAATGAGTGAATGACAAGACTCTATTGTGTCATAAACACCTCAAACTGGTTTCATCGGAAACAAAACAAAACAACAATCAGGGTGCCTGGGCTGGCTCAGTTGGTAGGGCATGTCTTGATCTCAGGGTCAAGCCCAATGTGAGTTCAAGCCCCACATTGGTTATAGAGATTACTTAAAAATAAATAAATAAATAAATAAATAAATAAATAAATAAATAAATAAATAAA